GAATCGTGTGGCAATTAGTGGTATGGTGAGTCGTATGGGGTCATCCGACCATTCGTGTTATTGGATCTGCAGGTGATGGTATCCTTAGAAGGGGATCAATTCGTAGCGGATCAGCGCAAGGAATGATCGACCACTCTTGAGAAAGTAATAGCAAGGTGAAGGTGCACTACGATGTTGGGAGTTTGAGATCGAGGATTTTGTAAGAGGGTCCATCATATTTTATTGCATTTAATGTCAGTCGGCTCCTCTGCATGAATGTTCATTGCTTTGTGCTTTGTGGAACTCTTGAGTGATGTGAGTTAGCTATTAAGTGAATATGTAAAGTTACATGTGAGAAAGGTTGGATAATCTCATAGTGACGGATTTAACCCTGCTGCGCAGCTCTCGTCTGAGTCCAACCGTTGTAGGGATGAGGTTGTTACTCAAAGGATTATCTTAGCTTTATTACATATGAGTATATTCATGGAATAGCTAATTGACATTGTGAGGAGTTCTTCAGCAGCTGATGGCAGAGAAGTGTGGAACGCTAGCCTAGGGAGTATTTTAGTGCAGTTGATTCGATGCCAGGAGTATTTTATGACTAGGTCTTAGATGAGTCGAGATGATTCTTGAGGAAAGTATGGGTAGGTTTGGAAGGTAGTATTGGGCCCGTACTATTGGAAGCACAGGATCCATACTCGATTCAAGGAAGATTTCGGGGATTCTAAGGGCTGGTTGGGAAGATAGCATGGTTGGATACCTCTGTTTGTGGCAGTGTTTCCATATCTGTCGATCTTTTGGATTTGGTTGCTCAGGGGAGGATGAGTTTTTTGTTGTTCATGCCCCAGTGGCGATGACAATATGGGTTGCGTGGTTCAGACCCAGATGAGTATGTTGGTTGGAGGTCGTGGAGGTTTGGCTAGAGGTCGTGCCTTAGGCCTCGAGGCATAGGGAGGAAGCGGTTGATATGATTGGTTTGGAAATTGCATCTAGGATTTAAGTGGTAGATTGTCAGATTAGATTGTCGTTATATGTGGGCAAGGCTTGCCCTACATATTTTCGAGTTCGAAGGAGTGGGCAAGGCTTGTGACCTCCCGAGTTAGGGTGAATTCTTAGCTCGAGGTATGTTGGTTGCGATGGTTAGCGACAGTATGTCAGCACTGGTGTATGCAAGTGGTTTGATGTGGCACGAGTACCTTAGCGATGCGAGCAAGGGCCGTATTCTTGGGATATGGGAAAGCCAGGTGCCAGATTTTCATGTGGATTAAAAGCAAGGGGTGTATGTTTGGATCGTAAATCGGTAGTTGCCTATGCTCTGTAATTGGTTATCATTGGGAAATTCAAAGGTCTTCAGCTAGAATTCAGGTTTCTCTTAGGGTTTGTTGATCCATATTTAGAGGACTATTCTGTGTATGTTATTCGTTCAATGGATAAGTATGGTGGTACCTGGTTGGGCGTGTTAAGTTATGTTTTGGTTTCATCACTAGTGGGTGGTGGTTCGAGTTCTAAGTGGGAGAGGACCGGGATTCTCAGGTTGAGCGTCATTCGCTGAGGGTTTTGTTAATTCGTCGTTCGAATTGTTGCTATCAGTTTTGTGGGGCAGATGTTGATCAGAGAACCCTTTCAAGAAGTGGGTATGTTTAAATACTGGTAGGTTTTTGGTCCTCTGGTTTAGGTATCAAGGTGTTCTAGACCATTGGTTGTTGAGTTCGTCTTTCTGCGGGAATTCTATGAAGGATTCAAGTGGTGACAGTTTAAGAGCAAGGAATGCGTCACCTACCCTCCAGTGTCGTATGTATATTCCCTTGGTCCTTGGTATGTTTACCCTCAGTGGTGAAGTGGAATTCTGATTCGTATCATACTCAGGTTGTGGTAACTTATAGGATCATCTTGGAGATCTTCATGAGCTAGTGGTGTAGTGATGGAATTCATTCAGTCTCAAATAAGTAAGGGGTCTTGTTTGACCGATTATGAGGATGTTTTCTATTATTATTAAACTGGCCTTTCGATTATCTCTGGTGTTTATTTCCTTTTCGGATGAGATTATGGGTTTCTTAAGTATGTGTGGGGGTACTCCTTGTAAGCTGGGCAAGAGGGATTTGGGGCTCTTGATTTGAATTATGTGCATGGTTGTCTTGGGTTCCAACTTCTGATTTGGATCAAGAATGCAACCGTTATCCAATCTGCAGATCATGTGCAACTTTGTTTTCGTAAGGTTTTTCTTGGTATCCATTTTGTGGTGCTCAATTGGCATTATAAGGGAGTCAATTAGGTCCCTTCAAGGTAATGGAATGAGGTAGGTATCTTCAGCCCCGGAGTGTTGGGCGAATGATGCGATGAAAATAGTGTCGGTGTGTTATTAGGAGCATTCCAGTCATAGGTTGTGGGCCTAGTGATTATGATGGTTTATTTCTTCTATTGGTAGTGCTTTCGGTGTTGGCTCATTAATGGGGGGTCTGGCAAGTCATAAATTTGTTGGTTAGATAAAGGGAAGCAGTAAGGATTGAGGGAAGTATCAGTCAGGTATCAGAAAGTCTCGGCAGGTTGTATGCATTATCATTCCAGTTGTTCGCGAATTGTTGTTGATTTGTGATCCTCAAGTTGGGAATTGATTATATAGTCGTAAGTCATAAATTTCTTGGTGATTGTATCAAGTGGATGCCTAGGTGGGGGTACACCGGAACCGATAAGGGTTGGATGTATCACATAAGTTGATGGCTTGATCGTCGAAGCAGTGGTTGGTAATTCCATAGCAAAGAGTCAAGGGTTGTCAAGATTTTGGGTTCATGATGTGGTTCGGTTTTGGGCTAAGTTCGTGGTCGGTGTGTTTGAGGATCATTCTTCATGGTTCTGGTAATGCCCCAATTAGGGACTAGGGGTAGCTTCAATGGATGTGCATCAGTTTAGGGAAGGTTCCGTGAGGAGGTATCATGGGTAGCCATATTTGAGTAGTTTTTTTTTTTGTGAACTCGTGTTGGGAGTCACAAGTGGGTCCGTGCAAGGTCTGTATCTAGAGCGGAGGAGGTTAAGAGATCTGTATATCAAAGGCATCAGTTGGAGGATTCAGAATCTAGCTTATGTGTCTGCACTCTAGGGTGGCTCCATCTTGTGAAGGAAGGGCAAGTGATGGGGTTTCGGGCTCTTAGCAGTAGTGTATCAGCCCGGCAGTCGAGGAAGTCTGTATTTTATATCTCTTGTGTGTTTATGGAATTGTTATTATCAAAGGTTAAATAGATTGTTTGATGGATAAGTGTTATGGTTTTAGCAATCGGTTCACTTTGGGAGGTCTATCAAGGAGTCAGACCAATTTGATACCCAAGTTCGGATACATAAGGTTGGGTCTTTGCATGGGATTATGGGTTGTTCTTCTTCTGGTTGGCAGTTTCTATTTGGGTTTGAAGAGAAATTGTTGAGAATAACCCTATTTCTAAGTCAACTCGACGAGTTGGAGGGACCAACTCGATGTGTTGATGATGGAAGAATTGCAGGAATTAAATGAATCAACTCGACGAGTTGAGGAGCCTCAACTCGACGATTTGGCAGCTGGGAAGGAAACCCTGATTTTTAGGGTCTTGCACCCTATTTAAAGGCCTTAAGTCCTTTTTCTAGCCTCCTTATCAGCATCCATTGTTATCAAAACCCTAAAACTAGTTGTAGCCTCCATTGTCAAGTTTTTGATATGTTTGGTGTTCACAAAGGATTTAGTGATTCTTCATACCAACGAGAAAAATATGGGACCACGATAAATACAGATGCTCCGAAAGATGAATGAGATCATCGAGAAGAAATATTTGGATTAGGACTATTGTATCGTTTTTAAGTTTTAAAATTAGGACTATCTTATTTTTTCTGTTAATTTTTTTTTTGTGTAATGATATTTTTTGTTTTTAAATGTTATGTTTAATTTAGGATTTAATTAAATTGCATGTTTTGTTATTTTTTTTTATAAATACTATAACATAAATAAAAAAACAAAAACCAAATTGGAAAAATCGAAAATAAATAAATTGAAAAGGAAAAAAAATCGAAAAAAAATAAAAATAAAAAAGAAATGATGACATGGAAATTAGTGGGTGTTATAACATATTGTTCCACTTGGTGTACCATACGATGACATGAAATATGAGATGTGATAATACCCTTTAGCTAATTATCCACACACTCTTGCATGGAAATTTGGTCATTCTAGATGAACAACAAAAACACAACGTTGCTATTATGAGATACATATTTTGATATTTTATTTGTGTAAGTTGCTCAACACCATCAAAGTAGAGGTCGTTACAGCATTATACTTTAAGTTAAAGAAAGATACCACGTTTAAATACCTTATTAACGAATTGAACCTTAAATTACAGATAATCTTTCAACAACAAATTAAGTGACTACATGGATAATGCTTCAACCTTATCATAAGAACATATTAACTTTGAAAGGGTACGTTTGCTTTACATTCATTTAAAATAATAGCCTTGGGTAAAAGCGTCTTTCCACATCCATGTAGACCACAGAACAGAGCTCCTTTAGATGGTGCCATACCAAATTTCTACTGATGCTCCACTGGGAATTGAACAGTCTTGGAAAAAAATGGAAGGGGCAAAGTGGTAATTTTGCAATTTCATTACCAAAAGAAAAATATATATATATATTTAATTGCAAAGAAAAACCACATAAAAGGTTCTTGCTTTAACATATAATAAGATGCTGTAAGCTGACATATAATCTAGTGTTTCAGGCATTTCATCAAACACTTCATGTGCATATAAAAGTACAAACATATTGAAAAGAAATTCCACAAATAAAAAGGGCTACTGAATCTGTACAACATATGAACAGACAAATAGAGAAGATCGTGCGTTCAACAGCAATGGCAGATTGAGATTTTTTTGAAAAAATGGCAATTTTCATTTCTTTTAATGTATCAAGTAAGAACAATAGTGAAGTATAAAAAGTCAAAAACAAAATGGGAAAGTTATTACATTACAATTACACCCCTAAGACATGGCTTACCAGTTACCACATTAGCACCTCTTATATTTCTTAATCCTCTTAAGAAGATGACCATATTGCCCTTTTTCCACCATCCCTTTAATCACCTCATTAGCTTCAAAAACCTTTCCAGCATTCTTCAAAAAACTCACTAAAGTTTTATACACAAGAAAATTCGGATTACACCCTCTGGATTCCATTTCCTTAAGCATCAAACACGCATACTCAAATTTTCCAGCCATACAAAGCCCACGTATCATTGTATTATATGTATAAACATTAGGAATCTTCCCATTATCAAACATATCTGAAAACATTTCTTCTGCTTTTTCAAACTGCCCCCCTGCAATATGTGCATTGATCATCACAGTGTACGCCACCACATCAGGCTCGCACCCTTGTTCCACCATTAAATCAAAAAAATACTTACATGCATCCATGTTTCCAGCTCGACTTAATGCATCTATCAAATTGGTAAAATGAAGAACATTTGGCTCAATTCCAGCTTCTTTCATCATCGACAAATGCACAACAGCTTCAGCTGGTTTGTTTGCTCGTCCATAAATGTGAAGTAAGATGTTGAATGTATGCAAATCTGGAGGGAATCCGTTTCTTCCCATTTCATCAAATAAGCTATGAAACTGATCTAATCTCCCCAATCTATATTTTGCGTACATTACGATGTTATATGTTAATGTGTCTGGTTGCCGACCATCTGCCAACATTTGTTGATACACCCAATCGATGAGATTATAGTGTTTTATAGCATGAAGGGAATGTAAGATTGCATTGAAGGAATGCTTAAAAGGGCGAAAATTGAATGAATTTGACTTTATGAATCTTTCTACAACTTTCTTGGCTATACCCGCTTCGCCACATGAGCATATAAAGATGTTGAAAGTTCGTGAGGTTACAGGGTATCCTTTTTCTGTCATTTCATCGAGTAATCTCCACATTGCTTTGTATTCTTGTGATTCTGCAAAGATTTGCATGATTAAATGGTAGGTGTTAACTGTGTGATTGTAGTTCTGTTTTTGGCCTGACCATATGAAGAATTTGTAGCCAAGTTTTACACATCGGTCTCTGTTTGCTTGATTGATGTTCTTCAAGATTCCTATAAGAACTTCTCTCACGAGTAAACCTGAAACTTGTATTTCTAGATTATCCAAAGCTGATCTTGCGTCGAACCCAGGACCATCTTGTTGGAGAACTTTGAGCGCCATGGCTGCTGCGTTTTTTGTGTTTCTTAGAAAGCTTGATCTGTTGAATACATATTGTTGGTGATGTTCTTCTTCTTCTTCTTCATATCTGCCACTTGTGCCAACGGAATCAACTGACTCTTCTTCTTGGTTTTCATCTGATACGGTATCACAGTTCGAGCTTTTACGATAATCAATTAAGTATTTCTCTATTCGTTGAAACCCATCGATGAATCCATTACTAGTGCTACATATGGAACGTGAAATACCGCAAAAACAAAAGATGCTCTGAACAAATCTGTGATCAATTTGAGCAATTGAGAGCATGCCAAGAACCAAGCTTGGGCTTTTAGTAATAGGGTCAAAATGACCACGACCAACTTAGCCGATATCTATATGACAAATTGAATCGAATGTGATTCAGATATAATAGTTTGAGTGTAGGAGTAGAAAATTTGAACCCTTTTTTATGTAGACAGATCAATTCAGTAGCTTGTAGTCGTAGAATTTGTAGCTTTGTACCCAGTGCCAGTTGAAGAAATGGATAAAAGGTGAAGGGAAGGATGAAAATAAAATTAGGGCAAAATGTCCCTCGGAGAAATCTAAGTAGAGATGTGGGTTTAAGCGACGGAAGACGGTGATCGATGGTGGCCGCCGGCGACGGTGAGATGTGGACTGCGTGAATCGGAGGTTGAGCCGTTGTGAACTGAAGGACTGTAGACGATTAGGGTTATTTGCAGGAAACGCTTTAAAATCAAAACGATGTAGTTTTTAATTTAGTGAGTTACATTTTCGGTCCCTGTAATTTTCCACTCTATACAGGCTGTAACTATTGAAGACACATTCCTGCATTTTGATTCTTTTGCTGTTCCCATCATCTTCTTTTTCTCCGGTTGTTAACCAATCGATTACTGGTATTATTTGAAATGTACTTGCTTTTGTTCTCTAGAAAATGCCTCGGACTTTCCTTTCATGGAGTTTTTCCTTTCCATAAACGTTGTTGTAGCATTTGTTGATCAATTTTTGTTGCTACTAGACACTTGATAACAAGCATATACGTAAGTATGATATGTTTTCTTAGGGTGGGCAGATTTGAGCATATTTTGCAACGGGTTCACGGTGGTACTATCGACTATACTGCCATGAGTTTGTATTGTACCGTAAAATGTGTAGATGAAATGGTTATTTAAATCGTTGGAAATCTTGTTCTTTCTCTTTTTTGTGATCATTCAATGATTACTTTTTTTTTCTCAAATATTTTTTTAATCATCAATATAAACAATTCACCACTCTAAAAATCATCCATTTATTCCAATTTCATTACAACCGTCCCCAATTTCATTCAAACCCTCTACAATTCCATTCACACTCTCTCAAATTCAATAGGTTCGTACTTTGGTTCTGATGAGCATCCCATCAAGAAAATGCATTATGTAACAAATCCTTATTTTTCATCCTCATCCGACGATGAACCAAATAAAATTAATATTTTGTCAGCATCTCGAACTACACAAGCTCTTATTCAGAATACCGCAAGTTCAAGCATAGTTAGGAATGCGATAACTCTTGTTCGGAGAGATTGTGAAGCGGCAGAAAAACAGCCAATCTGATATTACTTTGTAAAAAAAATGCAATCTTTAGGGACGAACATTTTCGTACCCAACAATGATACCTAAATTTGTGGCCTCACAACATAAAGTTACTCAATCCGAGTAAAAATCCCACAACAATCATTTTAATATGTTAACCATTTTAGTTCTTATCATTTTGCAACCTTATAATGGTATTTAAAAGGTGTTGATTACAATGTTGATTGTCTTGAAGTATTAATAAACCATAGCAACCAATCAAAGTAAGTACATATCTCCTGTGATTATGCTTAAGAATGTTTTGATATTACTTATACTATATCTACTCTTATTTTCTATGTGGCATTTATGGCATGATTTTACTTTGCATGAATCACATTTCGAATGTGTTTTAAAGTATAAAAGTCTATATTGATTTGAAACTTTGCTTAAGAATCCTTATTATCCATCACATATATGATGAGTTGTTTTGAGAGTTCGAGAGGTCCTATGGATTAATTTATTAGAATTTGAAGGATTAATATTATAGATTTATAAGCAATATCTCTAGGAGTGAAATGTACAACTCCATTCTATGGGAAATATGGTAAAGATTACATGATTCTTTAAAATTTCCAAAGGCTTACTTCCTCTTATATGACCTTTGTGGTCATAATTGACGTACTTGTTATGTTAATGTCAGCGAGTTGATTTATGAAGTAGATTCAACGTGGGAGAAGCCATAGACCATTTTCGACTCTAGAATGAAAGAGCATTATTCAAGAATATAGAACTTGGGTTGGGGTTTATGTAATGTCCTATTTTTACAACAAAAAATTTTCATTTTTATTTAAGTAAATCCTCCTAATTATAAATCCAGTATTGAGAAAACGTTTATTCAGATACATTTATTAAAATTCAGAGTAATAGTAAAATGCGAGAATCTTCATTGTTGTCGATGAGTGTGTACAGTCACGCATTCACATTCCTATGATGACCGATGATACCTAAAACAATAAAACAACTAGGTAAGCACATAACTTAATAAGTTTTCCCCAAAATACCCCATACAATAAACATACAAGCATGCATAACGGCCTACAACCTCCCGATTGGAATGCCTAGGCACATAATACATGCAAACATCAACCATACAACACTACCGCCTACAAGTCCTCTTACAACATACAATCCCACTACCAACTAACCTCAATTAATTGTGTAACCATAAGTAGCCAGAGGTGAGATAGTTACCCGGACAGGTGGTCCTACTCTAGTACCACAACCAAACAAGGAACAGGTAAGAGAGCCTAGACCAAGAGTCCTCAGTCTATCCTACATGACTATATACATTTCCTAAGGCGTCCTTCTACTAACAGGTAACCAAAACTAGTGAGCCATCATTGGTGCCTTCGACCCACGGTACACTGAGGTGAAAGTCACCTGAATCAAAGAACACTAAACACTGCGATACGACCCCTTTTCAGCACTGCTTGCTCCTGCAAATCCAATAACACTAGAACCAGATATAATATCAATCAATAACCCAAATCCTCAAGTTTGACCCAAAGTCAAACTTGGTTAAAAAGTCAACAATCAGCAGACCCTCACGACGTGACCATTTATGGATCACATTGTGGGCCACTACAGGACAAAATACTCGAGTCTTACCACCCTCACGATATGACATGCATCTCCTCACGTCGTGAGGACCGTTTGAAAGTCGTATTGGTTCAAAAACCTCTTAATCCATTAAGCCACTAATCCATCTATTCCAAAAGGCTTCTTAACACTCCAAGGATCATAAAAATCGATGCTTTAAGGTCTTGTATGTCCAATCCAAGACTTGGGATCAAATTAGGTCATTCATGGAGAAAAAGAAGATAAATCCTCATGCATTAACTGCAACATCATTCAAACTTTTACATATAAGCATCTAGGGACCCTAAGGACCCATAAAGTTGCCAAATTTATGGAGTCCCAACACTCTAACTCTTAAGATCTTGGATAAATATGCATAAAACCTTAGATCTAGCAATAAGGAAACATAAAGCTTGGATCTTGATTACTCACATTGGTCCAGTGTGTGGCTAAAGGTTGCAAATGAAGCTTCCAAGCTGCAACTATGCTTCCATAGTGATCTCTTCTTCTTCAAACCTCCAAAACTCCACCAAAAGCTCAAGAAACACAAGGAAATGATAGGTTTAGGGTTTTACTAAGTTTTGGGACGAAAGAGGCTGGTTTGTAAACCTAAATGAAGTTTTGTGGGGTTTAAATACAATGAAATTCTAAAAGATCGTAGGCTTGGGCTGCAGCATACCTCACGTCGTGAGCTTTTATTGCTCACATCCTGAGCTCAGTTAAATCAGAATCTTCATTAAATCCTTTCTCACGTCGTGACCCTTCAATGGTTATGTTGTGAGCCTTGGGTTTTCCCAAAAACCATGCATTTTACTCCTTGAAGCCCTAAATCGTCTCGATCTGGAAAACCGGGTGTTATAGTTTAGACGCATATGCGTTTGCATTGTCATGATCTTAGTAAACTTTATCTTTTTTTTTTATTCATTTATTGACAAGTGGTGAAAATATTTTATAAATGTTTTGGGAACTTGGGAGTTGGTTCGTTTCCACTAACTAATTACATTCCATGGTCTAATTTTGGTATTACTCACCTTGCTCTTCAAGCCTAACATTATTATTTTGGCATCTACTCAAAGATGAGGATGCGATCTATGGTTAAAGACAACTTGGAAATTTAGAAGGTCGTGATTTGTTTTGGTTCATTTTAACTTTTATAATGATATCTGATTGATCATCATCGGATTTGAAACTACAAACTTTTGAACTTAAACTGTTTAACTGGGCTTTTGAAACCAAATTCCGCAACAATGACTTTTTCACTAAATCTTTTTGTCGATATGAAGGGGGTTTCAACTTTTCACTTAATCTTTTATTGTACTATCTAGGTTTGACTTCAAAATTACATGGGCATAATATCAAGGTATAAAATAATGGTATGTTAATTTCCTTTCTACAATATTAGAAAAAGTCCTTCATCTCTTGCCTTTAAACATCGTGTACTACTTACCGCACAACATGACTTCCTTAGAATGTCGGCTTTCATTTCTTATATTTCCATGGTGGGATCTCTTATCATCCCCCACACATAGTGTTTTGTAAATCCACGAATGAGAAACTAAGGACCCAATATCGAAATTTCTTGGACATCTAAGCTTATCATTTAAAGATTCCATTTGGAAAGTTGTTTCATTTATAATCCAAGAAGTACGCAACCTATAAAGACACTCACTTTCTTTCCCACAAAGTAGTAATAACCTCTTATAATCACTTTTAGCAAACTGTAATAGTAACCATTTCCTATTGTATAGTTCTTAAAACAAAATTTTAGTTATTTGGGATTCTCATATCTCTCCTCTAATTCAGATTTCATTTTTTATCCAATCAACCATAGGCTTGTGAATATTATATTGGACCAAAAATTCTTAATTTTATTCATCCATATTTTTGTCCAAACTTCTAAAGTGGAAATAATCATTAGATAACTCTTCTTCATACTCATCCCCTTAATACAACTCTAATAATTCGCCATCTTCCTTATGACGAGGGTATAACAAGTACGATAAAAGGATATTTTACTATGTTCATGATAGAAGGATAAACATCTTCCTCGTTTTGGACATCTACAAACATATTATATTCTATGTCAAGAGATACAAATCTTATGGAATTAGTGTATGTAGAAGATGCAAAATATTCCTCATTTTCATTATCAGTGAATCCTTCACTAAGGTTATTTTTTGAAGGCGAAAACATATGTTTTACTAATAATATACACTACAAAAAACACTTCAAATGACAAAAAAATCACAAATTCATGCATAAAATAACAAGCGTTTAAAAACACTTATCTACTCTAATAAATGCATGTTTTTTTTTTGCCACATGACACGCTTTCATTAAATTTGTTAAATGTTATTTTGCAGTTATTTTGAATTAATTTCTTTTCCACATGTTATTTTATGAGGTTTTTTTTTATTTCAATAAATTACACATAATGCTTTAATGTAATGATTACAATAAATGTAGTAATAAATAAATATCAATTTCATTAATGGACTTATCTTCTTATTTCAAAATTCTTAAATTAAAACTCATTAGTTTTTTTGTTTATTTATTTAAATTTAAAAGATAAAAAAAAAGTTGATTTTAATAATTCATTATTTTTCTTATTTGCTTATAAATTCAAAGTCTTAAATATTTAGACCTTTATATTTAATTTTTTTAATTAACTCATGTAATATATAGATCTTACACATAGTAATAATAAAAAATCACTAAAAATGAGAGTAAATGGATTATTCAAACAATTTTAACCTTTTGTTACTCATAATGTAAAACAAAAAACAAAAAATATATAATACCTGTTATTGAGAGATGTCAAAGTAGTGGGTTGGACTATTGAGCCCTACCAAGGTGAGAAGATGTCGAATTCTACAACCGATTTCCCTCTATTTTCTTGATTGTGTGTCAAAATGTTGAACCCTACATATGTTTTCCTCCCTTTGTTGTTTAGAATGTGAGAACCCTATTTTCTTTTGCTTTTAAACTAGGAAATTATAAGTTAAAAGATAGGGTTAATACCATAAAAGCCATAAGTTTTACACCCCAATTCTAAATTAGCCCTAAATGGATTTTTTGTGTCTAATTAGCCTAAATAATTGTGACCCCGTTTCAAAATCGTTTTATCAGTCGGTTAACAACAGGTCAAGTTATGCAGCCAATCACCACTCTCATATACTACTCGATCGTTCTTACACCATCAAATATCACCTTTCACATAAACATCTTGCATCAAAAAAGGGTTTCATGTAGTTGGTCTTAGGAAGAAGAAGGGTTTGAAAAGGGTTTCTTACACCATTGTTGCATGCAAAAAAGCTTCTATTTTGAAGTTGAAAATCACTGAAGTAGAAAGGTACATGGGGTGCCAATAAGAAATTGATGTGTATGTGTGTTCTAATCTTACATAATCGAGTTCCATAGTGTCACTTACAAGTATAATTTTTCATTTTGAACAGATGGCTTCATCATCTGGAACTAAAAAGGTGAAAGGGCCTGAAAAGGTTTATGTAAGGGACGAGGACTCTGATGATGATCTCATAGATTTCTCTTTCCTGGATTTTGCACCAGAGACCTTTAAACCAACCTCAAACCTGTCTGATGACCCATTTCTTAACATATTATGTGATGAAAATATGCTAAGGAGGATTCTTGATGGATTGGGAGATGATGATCAGGAAGTTGGTGTTAAGGATCTAGAACATGATCATGTTGATGATCAAAATAACGGTGAAGTAGGTGTAGAGTACAGGGTTCATGATCCAGACATACATTGGAAACAAATGAAGCCTGTAGTGGGAGAGTGTTACGAGTCCCCTTCTCAACTCAGGTTTGCATTAACTAACTATGCAGTAGCTAATGGATATCAGTTATGGTTTATGAAGAGTGATAGGCATAGAGTGATTGCTAGGCATGGGAAAATATATAAAAAAGACCCATATCCCTTTAGAGTTTATGCTGCTTGGAAGTATAATGAACGAAAATTTCAGATTAAATCTATATGTGACATACATCTATGTGCTAGAAATTTTAATTTTAGAACTTTGGTTAGTTGTAATTGGTTAGCCAAACATTACCTGAAGGATATTATTATGAAGCTAAAGATGACATTAACTGAGATGAAGGAAGATGTACTTAGGATGTTTTCAGTAAATGTATCTAAGGGGCAATGTCACAGGGCTAGGACAAAGGCAAGAGAGATGATAGAAGGTAAGTTAGAAGAACATTATGCAAAGGTATGGGACTATGCTGCAGAATTCCTCAGGTCTAACCCATGGAGCACTTGTAAGGTGGGAGTAGATTCTAATGCAAGTGGCATGAACTATTTCAAAAGGTTTTATGTGTGCTTAAAGGCTTTTAAGGATGCTTGGAATAGGGGTTGCAGACGTGTGATAGGTTTGGATGGTTGTTTCCTAAAGGGTCAGATCAAGGGAGAACTTTTGACTGCTGTTGGAAGAGATGCAGACAATCATGTATATCCAATAGCATGGGGAGTGATTGGTGTAGAGAACAAAGATAATTGGACTTGGTTTATTGAGCTGTTAGTTGCTAATCTTGACCTTGATTGTCGTAGGGGTCTTGTGGTTATTTCCGATAAGCACAAGGTAAATTATACTGTAAATTTGTTTAATTATTATACATTGATAATAATTTTGTTTATTCAATGCCAGGGTCTACTACAAGCTGTTACAGAACTACTTCCATATGTTGAACATAGACAATGTGCCAGGCACATCTATGCAAACTTCAGGAAGAAATACATTGGGTTAGAGCTCAAGAACCTGTTTTGGGAAGCTGCCAAAAGTATTGTGGAGTGGGACTTTATAGCAACAATGAATAAAATCAAAGACATAACTCCCAGTGGCTATGAATGGCTGATGTCAAACAAACCACATTCTTGGTGTAGGGCATTTTTCTCTCATGGATATGCTTGTGATGCTATAGAGAATGGCATATCAGAGTGTTTTAACTCAATGATCATTCACATCAGAAAAAAATCAATTCTAACAATGCTTGAGGAAATCAAGATTTATTTGATGAATAGGTTTTATCATCAAGCTGCTACAGTTTCTTAATGGAAAGGTGACTATGACCCAAACACCTTAGAGAAGATTAAGGAGTTTGGAAAGCATATGAGGTATGCTTATTTGATTTTAATTGTGATCTTAAGTCTATACATGTACATTACTAATTACTTATAATTTTAGGTTCTGGATAGTAATACCAAGTGGAGGGGCATTATTTGAGACAAGGCATGGATATTCAGCTTACAAGGTGGATTTAGATGCTTATTCTCATGCAGATTATGGGAGATATCAGGGTTACCATGTGTCCATGCTCAAGCTCCAATCAATTTCACACATAGAGATCCAACTGATTTTATTTCCTTTTGGCTCCATAAGGACAAGTTTATAGAGACATATAGGGACAACATCTTACCTGTTAATGGAAGTAATATGGCCCTATACTGAATATGTGAAGCCCTTACCACCCCTTATTAGGAGAATGCCTGGAAGGCCAAAAACAAATAGAAGAAGACATGCCTCAGAATGTCAGGATTCTAAGAAGACATGCCTCAGTATTGTGGAGTGGGACTTTATAGCAACAATGAAGAAAATCAAAGACATAACTCCCAGTGGCTATGAATGGCTGATGTCAAACAAACCACATTCTTGGTGTAGGGCATTTTTCTCTCATGGATATGCTTGTGATGCTATAGAGAATGGCATATCAGAGTGTTTTAACTCAATGATCATTCACATCAGAAAAAAATCAATTCTAACAATGCTTGAGGAAATCAAGATTTATTTGATGAATAGGTTTTATCATCAAGCTGCTACAGTTTCTCAATGGAAAGGTGACTATGGCCCAAACACCTTAGAGAAGATTAAGGAGTTTGGAAAGCATATGAGGTATGCTTATTTGATTTTAATTGTGATCTTAAGTCTATACATGTACATTACTAATTACTTATAATTTTAGGTTCTGGATAGTAATACCAAGTGGAGGGGCATTATTTAAGACAAGGCATGGATATTCAGCTTACAAGGTGGATTTAGATGCTTATTCTCATGCAGATTATGGGAGATATCAGGGTTACCATGTGTCCATGCTCAAGCTCCAATCAATTTCACACATAGAGATCCAACTGATTTTATTTCCTTTTGGCTCCATAAGGACAAGTTTATAGAGACATATAGGGACAACATCTTACCTATTAATGGAAGTAATATGGCCCTATACTGAATATGTGAAGCCCTTACCACCCCTTATTAGGAGAATGCCTGGAAGGCCAAAAACAAATAGAAGAAGACATGCCTCAGAATGTCAGGATTCTAAGTTCCCTACTAAAAAGGCAAAGGTTAGCAGGACTGTTAGGTGTGGGAAATGTAGGGAACTTGGTCATAATAAGCTGTCTTGTAAGAATGGAGAAGGTCCAAGTGACCCTGTAACGCCCGTAGATCCGGGCTAGTCAATTTAGAGATAATAGGGGTCGAAAATGACTTTTTGACAAAATATTATTTAGAATAAATAATTTGAACCAAGTTGTAGTATATGTCACAAGATTTCCGTACATATAAAGAACGCCGAAATCCGAGTTATAACAAAGAAGTTATGACCCGTCGAAGTTTCGCGACGGAACCGACACGGCACCGGGAAGCGTAAAAAGTGAATTTACAACAGAGCGATATTTAGCCTTAGTGATCTAAACGAAAGTCATAGAATATGTTAAACCGAGAAAATCCATAAAAAGAACGCCCAAATCTGACTTCGTATAAAGAAGTTATGATTTTTCTAAGATTCGGCTTAGCAGTGTACAGCCCGAAACTTGAATTTTAGTTCGAGCGGTTTTTGGCTTATGCGACCTAAATGAGAGTTGAAGATCTCATTAATAGGAACTCAACGGTAAAAAGACAGACAAAAACAGAGTCCGTATGAAGGAGTTACAGATTCTTCGCGGTCATTTAACAGTCTAAACGCCTCGTACTGTTAAATTTAAGATCGGTCAAGAATTAGCCGACGGAGTCAAAATGAAAGTTGTAGATATTATTTTTACCTACGCGTGGATATAAAGAACGTCAAAAACGGAGGTCGTATGTGAAAGTTACAAATTTTAGAAGTCGGAAGTGTGCTGTGCCAAAATGGTTGATGTGGCACAATCTTGGCCATTGCTTTCTCCCCAAGTCTTGCCACTAGATGGTGACATGTGGCACCAACTTCAGCCATTTTCACCCTATAAATACCACCTCTCCCCCCTCATTTTCTTCACACCTTTCCCATTCTTTCTTCTCTTTACTCTCTCTCTAAAACCTCTCTCTAGCCCCGAAATCCCCCGAAAAGTCTAGGGAACCTCCCTAGCACGAGGCGGAAGCCCCGGAGTGCTCGACGGCTCCGAGAAGAAGAGATTTCCGGCTCGGAAACGCTGCTCCAAGCAAAGCCTGGTTTTCTATAAAACCCGCTGTAAGTGAGCTACGCCTACGCTATTTTTAATATAGTTTTTATTTAATTATATTAACGTTATTAAGAACATATAATAAATACTTGGGCTATTATTATGGGTTATATAATTTTTTTTAACGCTTATATAATAGTAATAATAGCTAGACTATTAATTAGTCTCGGCGAATAATAGACTAAAATCTATTGGTGATAATACTAGGTTTCGTCGAAGGAAATTATTTTAAAGTAAACGAAGCGCTGTCCGAGTACCGAGTCACCACCTTCTCAGGTGAGTGCATGGTCCCTTTCATCTTACACATAGATATGAAGTATTTATTATATAATTTACGTGTTGTGAGTGCATAGTCTCTTTCATCTTACACTTAGATATGAAGTATTTTAATATAAATTACGTGCTATGTGTACATATTGTCTGAATACTTGCTGTCTATGCTGAGTAAAAGATTTTTATACATGTTTTAAATGATTTAAACTGTATACGTATTTTATATCTACAAAACGTGTTGGGAAAAACATGGGTAGATGAAATAGTTGTTTTGTGATAACACGATGGGAGACATCAGTGTTGTCAGTGATCCAGTCATCTAGTGGAGTATAGATGACGACTATGGACGATACTAGACGGTCCAGTGGAACGATAGCAGTTTCGTAACATGTAGGTATTTTTGAACTAGGTGCTCATTAGGTATTTTTGAACTGAGTGTGTTCACTACGTATCTTTGAACTGAGTGTGTTCACTAGGTATTTTGAACTAAGTGTGTTCACTAGTTACTTTTTAACTAAGTGTTTACAAGATGTTTCGGACTACGTGTTCACCAGATATATTCTATAAGCCTTGGTAATGATGGACTTCGTGTCGATTCCTTAGGATGATCCTTAGGAATAAATAAACGAGGAATAGCGGGTTCTTAGGGTAGATCCTTCAGACTAAAGAAGATAATGGGGATGGGTAATTGGGTTGATTGTTTGATTGTTTAAACATAATAATTATATTATTGTGGGTTGAAAACCCTATGTACTCACCAGGTTTCCCAACCTGACCCACTCAGTTTATGTATATCACAGGTGATGAAATGAAGTGACATTACACTGAGAGATTTAAAGAGATGTAGATCACTAGTGTAAACAATTGTAAGTTCTGTTTATGCTTATGTTTCTGTATTAACGATGACATCCCAAACGTTTTAAGATGAATAAAAATACGTTTCTTCGAAAATGTTTTAATAACGTATTTATCGTGTTTTTCTGGGAACAAATTCCGCAACCTTTTTATAAAATGAAGTACTCTGATTTTCATAAAGCATAAACAAAATCGGTCTTTTCTGGCCGTGATTTTGGGGATGTCACAGTTGGTATCAGAGCATTAGTTTAAGCGAACTAGGAATATGGATTTATTTCTAGACTTAAACTTAGGATGCTAAGCGATGATTGTGAGGTGTGAGCACTTGCTTAATTTAGGAATGATGCCTAAATTACTTTTATGTGCTAAATGATTTGTTATGCTATAGTTTGATCGGATCTATGGTCTGTTGCCGACCGGATCTGGAAACCTTATGTGTTTAGGATTCTAAACGTACGAATACGATATTAGAACTAGCATATAAACGTTTCGGAGCGATAAGGATGATTTAAACGTCAATCCTATGTAAGGGTCTAGATTCACCTTATTCGGTGTATAGATCAAGATGGCAAGGACCCGTAGCGGAAACGTGAATGCAAATGAGAATAGGAACCAACCCCCAGTGGTTCAGCAAATACCTGTTGTAGAAGAAGTTGCACCTGAGCCAGTCACCATGGCTGGAGTTCAAGCCATGATTCGGGTTATGCTAGCTGAACAAAGGGAAGAAATGAGGCGGATGTTGAATAGGGACGAACCAACTATGCCCACTGAGCAACACGAGCTGATTCCCGAGCAATCGGAGGAAGGAAACTACAGCCGCCAAGTGAGTCAAGTGGGGACTCAAGGTGATCAAAGGGATGGCCCGGAGAGGAGAAACGACAAGGATGGGCGAATGTACAAAAATTTCTTAGGTGCGAAACCACCAAGTCTCTCAGGAAGCCCAAAGCCTGTTGAGATTATGGATTGGATCTCCGAGATGGAGATGGTGTTTGAGAGCTGTGACTGTAGCGAGAAACAGAAGACCATCTTCGCTGTAAGACAACTAAAAACTGGAGTTTTGAGCTGGTGGAAGCTATTGGCAGATACGATGCCACGAGGAGAAGCCTTAAGGATGTCATGGGAAGAGTTCTTGGAACAGTTGAAAATGCAGTACTGCTCAGAGATAGATCTGATAGACCTAAACAATGAGTTTCAGAACCTAAAGAAAGGGAAGATGAGTGTTGATGAGTATGCCACCGCATTCACCGAGAGGATGAAGCTATTCCCCTACTTGGTGCCTACTGAAATCTCCAAGATTGATAGGTTTGCTAACGGATTACCCACTGACTTTGGCCCAATGGTCAAAATGGCAACTACCTTGAAAACAGCTGTTAGGGCAGCTAAGAATGTAGAGGCCCAGATAAGGGAAAAGGGTCTAGAAAAAGATAAGGCAGGAGAGAAGCGGAAGTTTGAAGGATCTTCAAGGTCCAACCAGGAGAGAAAATTCTCGAAGCCTGGAGGAGGAGGTGAAGCAAGATGGTGTGATAAATGCAAGAAGAAACACTTTGGAAAATGCGGCGAAGAGGTGACATGTTTCAAGTGTGGAAAATCTGGGCATTACGCCAATGAGTGTACATCCAACAAGAGGTTGTGTTATGATTGTAAAGAAGGGGGGCATATTTCAAGGAATTGCCCAAAGAAAAATAAAGTAGCAAGACCAGAAACGCCACCGAGGCCAAGGGCATTCCACATGATCCTCGACGAAGCAGAAAACAATGCAAGGAACCAAGGATGAGGAATTCATACCCGAAGATCAAGCTATGAGGTAGCCAAAGAGATAGAACCATATGATGTAGCCTATTAGAGGCATAGTCTAGGGTGAACTTGAACACCTATGTAATAGTTTCAAGAAATAATAAAATCTTCGTTTTGTTACCTGGTGTGTTAAACTGTTATGTGATTTTCTTGAATGATGACTTGGAAAACTACGAGACAATACTTGGGACGAGTATGAGTACGTGTGAAAGGTAGTAGATGCATATACTACCGGAAGCACAGGACTCACGCTTGGATCAGGGAAAGTCACAAGGTTACCAAGAAGCTAGTAATTGATTTCGTTTTATTCAAGTATGCCATTACCATTGTTTCGGTAATAACTAAGAAAATTGTTGTTATCCCGACCCTAGTGGTCATATCACATTGAGTCCGACTACGATGAGTAGGTTACGTGGTTCAGAGAACCAAGTTTGATGTAGTGTCCGACTTAAACCAAACGATTGAAATCAAAGCGATCAATAGAAGTATCGCGCTCGTTGTTAAAAAAAGTTGGTAGCTAGAAATTCTACATGTTAAAATGTGATTATATCACATTAGACCATGAAGGAAGACATATTTCATTCCGGAATTTGACTCTAAGAGACCTGAGTCTACGCGTTGTTACGTACGATAATAGGTCATTAGAATATGACACCTCGATCAATTGTAGAAATCAAATTAACTTATCCTAAGAAGAAGAAGGTGTCTCTGATAAAGAATGAGCTTGTGACATGAAGTTCATGATTGAAAGTCTAACGAGCAGGTGCAAGACTAAGCACCACCTGCAATCAAGGAGTCCAAGAGTTAGATACCCGTTCGAAGCAACATAGAAGTTACAGTTATTACCTAGGATGAAGAGATAATGTATGGAGTCATTACACTGCCCTGTTTCGTTGATGATTCCGGGACGTAATCATCCTAAGGGGGAGATAATTGTAACGCCCGTAGATCCGGGCTAGTCAATTTAGAGATAATAGGGGTCGAAAATGACTTTTTGACAAAATATTATTTAGAATAAATAATTTGAACCAAGTTGTAGTATATGTCACAAGATTTCCGTACATATAAAGAACGCCGAAATCCGAGTTATAACAAAGAAGTTATGACCCGTCGAAGTTTCGCGACGGAACCGGCACGGCACCGGGAAGCGTAAAAAGTGAATTTACAACAGAGCGATATTTAGCCTTAGTGATCTAAACGAAAGTCATAGAATATGTTAAACCGAGAAAATCCATAAAAAGAACGCCCAAATCTGACTTCGTATAAAGAAGTTATGATTTTTCTAAGATTCGGCTTAGCAGTGTACAGCCCGAAACTTGAATTTTAGTTCGAGCGGTTTTTGGCTTATGCGACCTAAATGAGAGTTGAAGATCTCATTAATAGGAACTCAACGGTAAAAAGACAGACAAAAACAGAGTCCGTATGAAGGAGTTACAGATTCTTCGCGGTCATTTAACAGTCTAAACGCCTCGTACTGTTAAATTTAAGATCGGTCAAGAATTAGCCGACGGAGTCAAAATGAAAGTTGTAGATATTATTTTTACCTACGCGTGGATATAAAGAACGTCAAAAACGGAGGTCGTATGTGAAAGTTACAAATTTTAGAAGTCGGAAGTGTGCTGTGCCAAAATGGTTGATGTGGCACAATCTTGGCCATTGCTTTCTCCCCAAGTCTTGCCACTAGATGGTGACATGTGGCACCAACTTCAGCCATTTTCACCCTATAAATACCACCTCTCCCCCCTCATTTTCTTCACACCTTTCCCATTCTTTCTTCTCTTTACTCTCTCTCTAAAACCTCTCTCTAGCCCCGAAATCCCCCGAAAAGTCTAGGGAACCTCCCTAGCACGAGGCGGAAGCCCCGGAGTGCTCGACGGCTCCGAGAAGAAGAGATTTCCGGCTCGGAAACGCTGCTCCAAGCAAAGCCTGGTTTTCTATAAAACCCGCTGTAAGTGAGCTACGCCTACGCTATTTTTAATATAGTTTTTATTTAATTATATTAACGTTATTAAGAACATATAATAAATACTTGGGCTATTATTATGGGTTATATAATTTTTTTAACGCTTATATAATAGTAATAATAGCTAGACTATTAATTAGTCTCGGCGAATAATAGACTAAAATCTATTGGTGATAATACTAGGTTTCGTCGAAGGAAATTATTTTAAAGTAAACGAAGCGCTGTCCGAGTACCGAGTCACCACCTTCTCAGGTGAGTGCATGGTCCCTTTCATCTTACACATAGATATGAAGTATTTATTATATAATTTACGTGTTGTGAGTGCATAGTCTCTTTCATCTTACACTTAGATATGAAGTATTTTAATATAAATTACGTGCTATGTGTACATATTGTCTGAATACTTGCTGTCTATGCTGAGTAAAAGATTTTTATACATGTTTTAAATGATTTAAACTGTATACGTATTTTATATCTACAAAACGTGTTGGGAAAAACATGGGTAGATGAAATAGTTGTTTTGTGATAACACGATGGGAGACATCAGTGTTGTCAGTGATCCAGTCATCTAGTGGAGTATAGATGACGACTATGGACGATACTAGACGGTCCAGTGGAACGATAGCAGTTTCGTAACATGTAGGTATTTTTGAACTAGGTGCTCATTAGGTATTTTTGAACTGAGTGTGTTCACTACGTATCTTTGAACTGAGTGTGTTCACTAGGTATTTTGAACTAAGTGTGTTCACTAGTTACTTTTTAACTAAGTGTTTACAAGATGTTTCGGACTACGTGTTCACCAGATATATTCTATAAGCCTTGGTAATGATGGACTTCGTGTCGATTCCTTAGGATGATCCTTAGGAATAAATAAACGAGGAATAGCGGGTTCTTAGGGTAGATCCTTCAGACTAAAGAAGATAATGGGGATGGGTAATTGGGTTGATTGTTTGATTGTTTAAACATAATAATTATATTATTGTGGGTTGAAAACCCTATGTACTCACCAGGTTTCCCAACCTGACCCACTCAGTTTATGTATATCATAGGTGATGAAATGAAGTGACATTACACTGAGAGATTTAAAGAGATGTAGATCACTAGTGTAAACAATTGTAAGTTCTGTTTATGCTTATGTTTCTGTATTAACGATGACATCCCAAACGTTTTAAGATGAATAAAAATACGTTTCTTCGAAAATGTTTTAATAACGTATTTATCGTGTTTTTCTGGGAACAAATTCCGCAACCTTTTTATAAAATGAAGTACTCTGATTTTCATAAAGCATAAACAAAATCGGTCTTTTCTGGCCGTGATTTTGGGGATGTCACAGACCCTGTCCCTAAAAGGAAAAATGGTAGACAAAAGGGAGATGAGGGATGGAATTTAGCTGTGAACATTGTAAAGACACCAAGGAAAGTAGATAAGGGAAAGAAGAAAGTTGTTGAGGGAACATCAAAAGAAGTAAATGAGGGACAAAATAAAGTTGTTGATCATACATTAAAAGAAGCAAGTGAGGGAAAGATGAAAGCTGCTGAGGGCACATCAAAAGAAGCAGGTAAGATGATAAATGTTGATCAGTCAATTTCTCCTTTGAAGAGAATGAAGATGATGGCAAGGAGGGGAGGTAAGATCAAATATGTAGGGAGAATAGGGGTTGTGCATGGTAGTATAAGTCAAAATGTGGTAGGTTTTGATGAAGTTGTACTTACCTGCAATGAAAAGCTCGACCATGAAGATTTTGAAACTATTAAAGATCTGCAGGCATCTGGATATGATCATGGGGAAATTGTTGAAGCTTTTAATACGGTGTGTAGTTATAAATTTAATTATTAACACAATTTTCTTGAACATTATGTGATAATATGTTTATGTTAATTTCTTATTCACAGTTGACAAAAGAGAGGAATGAGATGTTGGTTGAGAGTATAGTTGATGAAGAGACCAGTCAAGAAACACAAGATCCGTTGGTAAGAAAAAGGAAGCCCTCAGAAAGAATTATCAAGATTAAGTTAAGAAAAGAAATACATGATCCAGATGGAGGTGGTTCAACAACTGAGAAATCACTTACATTGGACTGATGTTGTTATGGGCGGGGGGTTAATTGGGCATAAATCTTTTGATAGCCCTTTTTTGTGAAAGCATCTTTTGGTAACAAGCTTCCAATTTGTTGACAACATGTTATCTTTTGACTGTAAATTGTAGTAACATTATCATTTTGGGAAATCATATTTTGGCTTGTAAACATTGTTGTAAAATTGGAAGTTTGGTTCTGATTGTTACCCTCCATGTATGTATTTGGCTATTATGTTTATAAAGATTGTGGTTTGTAGTAAGTTCAAATTTCTATGTCAGTTTGTAATGGATAGTAAATTGTCAATTTCTGGTTAATGCTTTTCATATTAATTGTCCCGTAAGACTATGTATTACAAGGGTATCCATATTACAACCATCAAAATGTTTTCAGATGCTATTACAACTGTGCCAAAATACGCATCTAATACAATTTCACCTAACCAATAACTTCACAAAAGACTAAACTTAACTTCCTAACTTCTTATAATCTCACCAGCAATACAGTCCCTGTTACCAACATCACTACAAATAGCATGACCATGATGAACATAAGCTTCATCATCAACATCAACCTCCTATTTTGATCCACATTCACCTGTTCCAACTGAGCATTACCATCAGCCATACCAACCAAAGCTAAATGCATTTGGTACATGAGGTTTTTGTAATCTTCACTAGGCAAAGGTGGGTCCAACCACATGAAGAACTTACAATACCTGGAAGGATCCTGCACATTTTTATGACAGATTTGCCCTTAGTCCCATAACAAAACTTTATACTGGATCAAAGAGTGAAGAACATACCTTGTAGTTGGTGCATCCCCTAAATTTTCTTCCAGGATTCTTGTCCGTCCACGAAATTGAGAAGCTAGCCTCAACACCACAACGACACAAAACCATGGGGTTGTTTCTGTTCCTGAAATTGACATTAACATTTTGAAATCCTGAAGTCATTGACCCTGTAGACCCTGTAGATGAACTAGCCATGAAGAAGTTGATGTGTGGAAGAAGAAGTCGGAGAATGTAGAAGTAGGAGGTGGAAGATGGGTTTCTAACGGTAAAACCCTTATTTGTAAAGGGGTAACCGGCTGAAACCGGGGAAACCGGCTAACAGGGTTTGAGGCAAAAGTCAACACATACATAATGGCTAATTAGACATAAAAAAAATCCATTTAGGGCTAATTTAGAATTGGGATGTAAATCTTATGGCTTTTATGCTATTAACCCTTAAAAGATATATATGAATAACCGGCGTGAACCAAAAAAATGAAATTAAGAAGTTGTATAAAAATAATGAGGTACAAATTAAAATAAAGAAACCATATACAGGGTAAAATCGTAAAAAAAAAAATCACAATCAAAGAGTTTTTTTTTTTTTTTTTTTTTTTTTGAATTTCACTTTAAGGAAAGCTGAAAACCGGTAATTAAAGGAGTTGAATGAAACTTAGGGCTACAAACAAACCGAACAAACACGAACAAGGACTTGTTCATGTTCGTTCGTTAAGTTAGCCAAACAAATGAACGAACATGAATAGATACACGAACAAGTTTTCTTGTTCATATTCGTTCTTTTAACAAATTACCTTGTTTATTTTCGTTCGTTTATATTTGTGAATATGTTAAATGAACATAAACGGACATAGATAAAAAAAAACACAATTGTATATATATGAACATAAACGAACATATACTATAGTAATATAATAGAAAACAATCGAACATATATCAATATAAATAAATTTAAACGAACGAACATAAAAGAAAGTAAACGAACAATATAAAAGAATGTTCACGGACATAAATCAACGAACGAGACCATTGTTCATGTTCGTTTAACTAAACAAACGAGAAATTGTGTTCATATTAATTCATTTATTAAACAAACTTTCGACCGAACAATTCACAAATGATTTGTTGAATGTTCATTTCGTTTACCTCCGTAGGAAATTATATGGTAATTAAAAAAAAAAACAAACAAACAAAATAAATCTTTAAAATGTTTCAAATTTAAATATCTTGGTGACAATATTTCTAAATAAAAATCAAATATTATTATTATACAAAAAAAAATAAAAAAATAAAAAAATAAATTAAATTCGTGTGCATCAAAATTCCTTACTCCTTTCCTTTTTCACATATGGGCGCCAAATTGGTACGAAAACATTACGTTAATGCCTAAGAAACCGACCTCTGTGTAACCACCCTCTATTCCATCCTGTCAAAGCAAACATCTCTGAGTCGCAAACTGATTCACTCTCCGGCATGAGAACTCGCTTTCTTACCGACTTTTTCAACTCCTCCGCCACTTCTCAATCCTTACAAACCCTAGATTTCCTCCGATTTCCACCTCCTCAGCTCCCTTCACCCGAACTTTTCAACTTTGACAATCTCTCCTATTTCGATCAAGTCACCTCTGTTAACATCTCTCCTGAAATCGAGAGATTTTCCGTCAATGAATCTCTTAGTAAATTCTTCTCCGACGTCCTTCCTCAATACATCAATTCCGATATCGATCAGCAAACTGCAAGGGCTGTAACATCAGAGGTAACGACCGGGTAGCTTTAAGTCACTTTGTTTGATCATCCATTATTAGTTCGTTGCTCGCAATGCGTCTATGAGCACCATATTAACTTCTGCTGAAGTTAACTTGCATCTATTGGTGGAACATTTGTTATTCAGACTGAAATTGTTTTATGGATTCTGGAATACACCTATTCGTGATGTTGATTTCAAACTAATTATTACGAAGGTCGTTTGCTGTGATATCTGGTATAACTGCAAGACGGAATCCAGATTTTGACTTTAAGTTAGTTATTAACAAGGTCATTTTCTATGGATTATGGTATAACTGCATGCAGGATTCCGTTTTGCAAGTCTACTATTTGAATTTAGGAATTCCTAATTAAATAGTATTAATGTGAATTCTGATGTAAAAAACTTTAACCTTTGCCATTCATAGAGCTAGTGGCTTTCAGTATCTTTGTGTTATAAGTTTTATTAGCTGATACTATTACAATTCACAGCTACACTGGATGTTATAAGATTGAAATTGCCAAACAGGTTTAAAATGTATTATCCGATACTATCACAACTACGAGTCTCTTATTTTAAAGTTTCTAAACTAATTATATGAAGAGAAATATGAGAAATATCATTGCATTATATGATATGCCATAGAGCATAGGTTACATACACTGGAATCGGAATACAACACATTTGGATTCAGTTTCAGATATGGACATCTTGTTCTTCATGATTGCTAAGTTTTGCATTGAAAACTTCAGTTGTTGTATTTCTTTAGTTTACATTTCTTTTTGAGTTTTATGTGATGGGAATAACTACGTGAATCAGTGATATTCGTGCTGGAAAAGCGTGAGAAACCAAAATTCCCAATAGCTTTGAAAGATTTTAATATCTTATCATTCATTTCACATTATTTTATTTGGGCTAAGCCTTTTCACTCATTGTATATGCTTCTGCAGGAGAAAATTGATGGCTGTTTAGATGGTGCTTCTAACACCATCTCTACATTAATTGAATTTGAAACTCCAGAACTTCAATTATCTTTGGTAAGAAACTTTCTCCAATCACAATTAACTTGTGTTCCAACCACTTAAGGATGGAACTAGTGTTGTACATGTAACTATATATCTTATTCTCAGCATAAGTCTGTACTCTGTCACCTGCAGAAAGATTCTTGTGTTTTGCATGATGAGAAGATGCAGCTTTTCTTTGAAATTGCAGATGAAGAAGTTAATCTGGTACAAAATTTACTATAATATTCTTCGTGTTGAAACTTTAAAGCCACTTTCTTAAGGATATTCATTTTTTTTACAGGATCTGCTTGATTTTTCACATGAGGTGCAAAAACTTCTGGATATACAGAAATCAATTTTCCATATAGAAGATTATCATCTAGAGTTCCAGGAAGATCATAAGTCTGATATCTTTGACAATGGCAGTTTGATTGAGGGCCAAATATATTCCACTCTTAGAACATTTCCTCTATTGGAAATAGACGAGACAAGTCTGGGAATTAACAGCAATATATCTGAAGACAAACATATCATATTTGAAAGCAATGAACCCCAACAATGGATCCAAAAAGATGAATTGGCGTTTGATGACAATGATCATTTTCTTTCTACAGAATTCAATTTATTGGAACATCTTTTAAACCACCCTCCAGTTCCATGTCATCAATTTGAGGTATCATGTGTGAAGTTTGATCCAGAGTACATCATAAATGCCATTGACCATGGATATTCCTCTTTAACATTGACCCCACTTGTATTTGAGCCACTCAAATTCTTTGATACAAATACTTCCCATTTTTCTCAAGTGTTTTCTAACACTGAAGTTATAAATGAAATAGAACATTGTGAACAGATGTTTGGGGACACAACCTTGATCACTTTCAATGGCTTAATTGTCGAACATGAACTTACTCTGAGAGACGATTCATTCAAATCCCTACCTGTTCCTATTTTTTCTGATCATGAAAAGATTCTTTCAGTACAAGAAATCGTTGAGGAAATATTTCTGAAGTTGAAGCTGCAACCTTCCTCTAGTTCAGATGATATATATTTGGATTGGCATTTATTAGAGGAAGATATTTCCAATTCCAGTCATAATATATCCACTTCCTTGAAAATGTTTGAGGATATAGACACTTACAGTGTGGATGCAAACATGAAATCATGTAACATTCAGATCCCGATTTTGGAGTTTGTTTTATTTGATGAATGTTCAAATGAGCAAAAATGTAAAGAGAACATTGAGGTGCTGAAAATACAAATGAGTGGAAATTCGATGGATTCAATTCCTCATGATGGAATTGCTTCAAGTAAGTTAAATGATATAAGCAAGAAGATGGAAATTGGAGAAGCTTTAGTTGACAATAAGGTGAACAAGGATCCTCAGTTTGTTGAATCAATGTCAGAGTTTAATGATCTAGACTTCTTCTTAAACTCCTTAGAGGATACTTTTGTCAAAAAACAGAAAAAAACAACAGATAAGAAACCTGAAATGGATCATGCCCTTCCTGTGGTTTCATCTAAGAGTCTACTCGAGACACATGATACCACCAAAATACCGGAATTACCCTCAGCTATGGAATCAAAGAAAATCAACACAAACACGTGTTCGTTACCTGATGCCATTATAATTGTGAACACCCAAAATGTTGATACAGAAATGATAATTTCAAGAAGATCCACATACCAAAAAATCCTTGCAATGGAGAAACAAGGAGTACAAGTTGTTGAAAGGGATTTAAATCTACCAGTTGATGTTATAATTAGTGCTGCAGTTTGTTTAGTGTGGTATGACATCAAAAACATTAGAACAAAGACATCTTCAGATAGTGAATGTTCTTCATGTGTTGAAAATATTGCAGCAAATGTTTTGACATCAATTAGTTTCGCTTTCAGTGGCTGCATTCTGGTAAGTATCATATGATATCAACCTCAAACTCAAAAGTCAAAATCACATTCATTTATTAATTTAAATTGACGTTTTTGAAAAATAATTTTTTTTTTATAGATATTTGAAGGAGAAGTTGGTTTCCTTGGTGGTATAATGGAATCATCAGCTGAATTATATGTAGCTGCAGCAAGTCTAGGAATTGACTTACAACTCTTTTGTTCATATTCATGTGATACAACTGATGAGATAATAGTCAACTGTATTTCACATGCTGTAAAGTCAACTAAAGGTCTATATCCCAAAATGCCTGAATCAGAAACATTAGCTGAATCATTTCTATCCAGATTCCCTTCGGTTAATCCCCTCTCAGCTCATGCAATACTCTCATCAGTCGGATCACTCATTCAGTTTCTTGAAATGCCACATCAGCAAAGGGTTTGTGCTGTAAAAAAATACCTTGTTCCTGAATCAAGCATCATATTGTTCACTGCTTTGTGTAAATATGGAGAAAGAGAAGATTCTAAATCAGGAATGACAGATTGCTGTTCTTCAGTTTCTTCTGGACATGATTCTGGACATTGTTGTCCTAAAATTGACCATGAGTCAAAGAAAAGAAAGTACATTGACATGCCCATGGATTACTCATTTAATGATGTTACGTGGGATACTCCAAAAATCAACATGGACTTTGATGAGATGTATTTTGGTGAAAAACAGAGATCTAAAGGTCTGCAAGAAGGGTATAAAGGTCAAGTTATTGACATTAGTGATGATGACATGGCAGGTGAGGACTTCACCTTTGGGCACACTATATCTTTTCCAACAAGAAGTGCTCCAGACAATTATGGAACTAGAAAAAATGATTGGTGGAGTCTTCCTAGTTTTCCTACAGCTGCTGAGATTACACTGAATTCACAAACAGATTTAAAAGCTTCCTCAATAGTGAATTCTCCAATGAATTTTTGTAAAGAGAAGGGAGAATGTAAGAATGATGAGACACCATTATCAAAAGCTATTTCATCAGCTCAACCACAGAAAGGGTCACCATGGACTATAGATTTTTTAAACAGAATTAAGGAAAAGAGCAGGATTCGTCAGCAATCTCTTCCATTAATTTCATCTGCTCCTTGTTTTGGACACTCAGGGAATTCATCAAAGTTTAGAAAGAGAAAAAGTCCATCTATACTTGACTTTTATAGGTACAAAAGCAACAGCAACAGCAAAAGCAACATGCAAAACATGGAACACAAACAAAAGGGAACAATTCAATTATCAAATTCATCAAAACCTGTAAAGTCATCATCACCTTCACTGCCACAAACATGGACACCAATTGACAAGAGAGCAAAAAGGGTTTGTTATTTTTATTCATACTTCTAATATTCTAATATTCATACTTCTAATGCGTATAAATCTTAACATGAAATTCTTTTACTTTGTTACAGAAGCTAACTTTTGCTACAGATGGAATCAAGGGCCAAAGCAAGCTAATTTGGAGTGATAAGACTGATCAAACTCTGAAAAGAAGATTGTAATGTTGAGGTAAAAGTAAAACCCCACAGAGTATGTTACAGTTATTATTATTATCTACTGTAGTCCTATTTCTTCTTACCATTTCGAATATTTCTCAAAGTCATTACCAGTTGTTGTCTTTCACCTTCCACCTCAGCAAATCTAAGACTTATTTCTGTATATTTTTCCTGCATCTCTTTCAGCTCACTTTCCATATGTTTGTTCTTTTCATCCAATGATGATATTTCACTTAATAATTTGTTCACCTTCTGCTCATCATGTTTGCTAGTGCTCACATCACAATCTACTTTACTTTCCTGTAAATTAGTCATCTGATGAGTTATTGACCTTTTATCGTGCTATTCAAGTAGATTTTAGAGTAAATTACAAAAATGCCCCCCTGAACTTTCTGATTTTTGAGTTATTGACCTTTTATTGTGCTATTCAAGTAGATTTTTGAGTAAATTACAAAAATGGTCCCCGAGCTTTCTGATTTTCTACCATGTAGTCCAAAAATGAAATCTTCTTCACTTTTGGTCCTTATTACAAGGTTTCATATCGATTTTGGTCCTTGGAATCTTGTAATAAGGACCAATATGTGAAGTCCCAAGGACCAAAACTGGACAATGCTTCAATTGTGGATTGAACATGGTAAAAATCAGAAAGCACAAGGACCATTTTTGTAATTTATTCTTGAACATCCATAATCATTGACCTCTTCAATAGTTTTTTTTTTATTCAATTTAACTAATTTATCTTCATGTATGTGAAATGTTTTAGAAAACCTGCTTATCTAAAGATAAATCTAGAGTCCACATTGAACATTGTTATAAATAAAAGATAAAATTATTACGTATATATTTATTAAAATAAAAAAGAAAAAAAAATGTTATATCATTGTTACGAATTTAATTTGCAATATTTACCTGGAATAGTTTCAGATGTTTTGGCTGATCTTCCTTCTTCCTTAAGTTATGCTCTAATTTAGAAACTTCTTTCCTTAAGTTGACTTTCTCTGACTCAATTCCCAATAATCTTTTTTGCAACTCATTGTAATCATCTCTTAGCATTTTAAGTTCTGATTGCAAAGTTCTAATCATAACATTCTTTTCACTCATCAAACTTGTCCAATTTGTCGACTCCTTCTGTAGTTTTTCTGTTTCCATCTTTAAAGACCCAAATTCCATCACCATTACTTCTCTTTCTCCAACTTTTTCAAGCTCTAATAACATTTCCTTAATCTGTTCTTCTTGCATATTCATTTGATCACAAAGCTTCTCTACTTCTTTCTTGTGTGTACTTTTCATCAACGAAAGCTCTACATTTGAGTTCTCAACTGCTTCTTGCATTTCTCTCATCTGTTGCTTCAAACTTTGATTTTCTAACCTTGCGTTTCTCAAATCCTCATCTGTTTCTAATTTGGATTTCATCAAATCTTCCACATCATCTTCAAAATCACGCCCTTGTTTCTCCAATTCTTTCTCTAATCCCTTAATATGCGTTTCATATTCACTAATCGTATCAAAAGATTGTGAAATTTCCAAAGCTTGATTCATAACCTTTTCCTCTAATCTCTTCACTTGGATTTCATACTGTTTAACCATGGTTAACGAATTTGAATATTCATTCTCCACATTCTCTAATTTCAAAGACATGTCTTCATTCTCTTGTAATAAAAACTTGTAATCGAGGGTAATATCGTCAACATGAACCTTCAACCCCTCTTTCTCCCTCTTTTCAACCTCTAGTTCACCATACAACTCCTTCATTGTAGCAATATCTTTTTTCTTTTCCTCTTCAAGTGCTTCTTTCTCCTCCTGAAGTTCAGTTACTTTCTTCAACAGATCTTGTCCTCGTTTATTCTCTTTAAGTATTTGCTTACGAAGAGATTCCAACTCCAAATCTGACATTTCCACTTGCCTTTCCAACCTTGAAACATTACTTTTCAAAACTTCAACTGCATTTCTTGATGCTTCAGCATAAAGTCTCTGATCCTCATTGTTTTGAATTTGATTGTTGTGCTCTGGGCTGTTTATTAAATCAGCCATACTTCTATCTGAAAGTGAACCCATTGACCAATCTGTGCTTGATCTTTGTTTTTGATGCTTTTCAACCTTCTTATTCACAGGTTTTGAGTTCCTTGAAACAGTTGTATCCTGATTAACATTAAAAACAATCCATAAGAAAAATCCAGAATATTGTCTTTAGTAACTAACATATATTTATTATATAATGTAATTAATCTTACTTCAGCAAAATCAAGGATATTCCCGTTTTCACTGCTATCACTTAATTGATTCTTCAATCTGAGTGATTCAGACCTCAGAGACTCATTCTCTTCAGACTCCCTGAAACTACCCCCAAAAAGTCGATGAATATTTTTACACTGATTCATGTTAAAAAAAAAATTTTAAATTGATTATTAATTAATTACCTCTGTTCATCCGTTCGTTGCATCTTTTGGATGAACACCTATCCCATTTCACCATTTCATAAGTATCAGTAAACAAAATATCAACAACCTTTATATGTTATATATAAAAAAAACTTACATGTAAAATTGCACCAGACTCTGAAGCTGTTAAGGGGAGAGAAAGTTGTAAAGGTTCAGTTGCCTCTGCAAAATTAGCAAAATCAACCCCAACTTCTCCAATAAAACCTGATTTCGAAGATCCCTGTATGTGATAACCCAAAAACACATTACGACAGAAAATAAAATGATGCGAATTTTAATTTTTTTTAGTAGTTACTGTTTACCCACCGTTTGCACATTGAAGAAATAAATTTTCTCTTTATATGTTTCGGTTTTCTGATTCTTAACCAATTTAACCATCTCATAAATAGGATCTTCCCATGTACAAGTCCCTTCAACAACCGGAGCTTTCTCTAGTTTCGCTGTAGGCTTCCCAATATCCCCTGGGATCAAAGATATCATCAACCCTTTTCCTTTCACCTTTGGCACCTACAATCAAAAGGTAAACTTTCAAAACTCAAAACCATAATCACATTACAGTAACTAAATACTAAAAACTAAAAAACTAAAAACATATAAGTATATATATACATTACCTGTGTTGCTTGAAATTGCAACTGGAACATGACTTTGATCTTGCTGTTTTGGGCCTTCCATCTTCCCGACTTGAACATATCTTTCTCACAGGTAAAATCACTCAATGCCTCTGTTTTCTGTTGTTTTTGTTGATTTGTTGAAATGTTTGTTGTTGTTGCATTATGTGTTGTGCTTTGTAGTCATGGCATAATGTACATAGCTGGCGTAGGTGGAAGAACAATAAATGATAGGGTAAGGTAAGAAGCCTTTTTCTTTATCACCATAAAAAAAAAAAGTTAAAAATAAATTATAATCCCAAATAAATCGATTAAAAAATGTACTTTAAGTAGACAACAAGGTAGGTAGCCATAGCCATACTATATACTAGAATATAGTATTGCTCGATGTCAGAGTAACGTTCGAATTCGAATCCTTCAAAACCCGATCCTCCATGGTTTCGGGTATTAAAAACGAAGGTATGATAATTGAAGTGGTATTTTAGGTTACTGAGGAAATATTCGAAATTAGGATATATGGAATTTAAGGAGTATTATTTGGGGGACCAAAAACAGCACCAAACTTGGGGTTCCAGCTATATGGATGCTTTTATGGAGGCAGTCCCATATACATTATTGAAACATATGAAGTGGATGATGCCCTATTATCATTGACTGACGTGTATAACTTCCAACCCTGTTATTCAATAAATGCGTCTACCCATGTGAGGCCCATGTGCGTTACAACGTCTATCATGGACTTAATTATCATCTTTAATCTCGCAACCTTTATTAAATCAAGGATTACTGCATACTAAAATACTATCACAATACTTAAAATATTTTATGATACTGGTAATTTAATCAACTGATTATCTTTTCGTCCATAACAAAACCGGTAATTAATTATTCTAATTGTCAATCGTGAGATTCTAAAATAAATCAAGATCTGCTACTATTGGTTTTTTCTAAATTTATATTAGGTGATTTATGTTTTAAAAAAATTGAAGTAGGAATTTTTTTAGGTTTCTTTTAATACATGTTTGACATAGAGCGTTTAAAAGCTTCTAGCTTTTAATGTTTGAAAAAACGTTACGTTTTAAACAAAAAAACATTGTTTGGCACTATAAGCGTTTAGCGTTTAGTTTAACCAAAACATTATCGGCTCCTTGCTACAACTTGTTTTGCCCGGACACGTCAATCAAGGTTTTCTATTTTTCTATTTCACAATATGCAATTCACTAATTGCAAAAGTGGTGATATTTTTGTATTACGATTGAGAACGGTCTAAAACATTTTTTAATAAAGAATTGTCACAAATTGGAATCTGTTAAATACAATTATATTAATCTTTAGTGCATTTTCAACCACACTTTATTTTTAAAGTGTAAAAATAAAGTGTAAAATAGAGTTTATAATTGTCTATTGGGAAATCTCCAATAAAGTTTTAAATTTTTTACCTGGTTTATGTTTTAGTCATAAATTAATTTTTGTTTATGAAAAAGTCCTAAAAATCGGCAAAAGTTTGCATTTTGATCCTTTTTGACTGGTTGGAACCGGTAACAAATTAATTTGGGACTATTTCATAAATTGATTCAAAATATTGGGATTTTTCTACAAAAAAAAAAATATTAGGGTTTTTCTGCAAACAAAAACCTTGTTATTATTATTATTATTATTATTACATTAAAAATATAAATAAGTATATTATTTTTTAAATTTGTTATTATTAATGTTGTTAATAATACATATAAATACATTTAAATAAAAAAATATTAAAGACATTTTATAAAGGTGAAGGTTGAGCGGATGATAATGTTTTAAGCATTGAAATTATGAATGTCTTTTTGTATATTCTAACTTTGTATATGATCATTTCACATTTGTTATTCTTAGGGATGAGCAAAAGGACCGAACTAGCCGGAACCGGCCCGAACCGGACCGGAACTGGGAACCGGCTTCGGCCAAAATCAAGAACCGAACCGGCCCGACGGTTCTATCGGTTCCAGTTCTACCGGTTCCTACCGGTTCTTGTCGTGTCTTCAAATGTTGGAACCGATCCTTAAAAAATAGCATCATACGGTTCCGGTTTTTGCCGGTTCTACCGGTTCCAAAAATCCACAAAAATAACGTCCCGGTCCCGGCCCGACCGGTTCCATCGGGTTCCGGTTCCGGCCGGTTCCTCGGTCCATTTGCTCATCCCTAGTTATTCTTGTTTTAAATTCAGAATATTAACATTTAACAATTTAAAAGAAGCTATTGATTTTTCAAATTGTTTACAAATAGTGAAGGTGTGATATGCATGTATGTCTTGTGTGTAAGTATTTGAATTACCAACATTTGTGTTGCACTTTTTCATTACTTTATCTTTGTGGTTTTTTGGAAACATAGCAGATATAGTGTGATAAAGCAAAACAAAATATATTACTTTCTATTAAACAAGATCTTGTAATTAATATTTTCAAATATTCATATGGGCCACCAATATAAATATTTATTGTAGATCTGTTGGGTCTGAAAAAAAATCATTCTACCTTAATAAATTTTATATACAAAGTGAGAAATCCTTTTATCTTAAGAAATTTATACACAATTTTACAAATAGGCAACTTCATGATTTCATTGCTTAAAACATTACCATCACCACCACCATCATGTTTAAATAATTTCTTTAATATATTTTTTTATTTAAGTGTATTTATATGTATTATTAAAAATATTAATAATAATGAATTTAAAAATTAGTATATTTGTTTATATTTTTAGTATAATAATAATAATAATAATAATAATAATAATAATGTTTTTGTTTGCAGAAAAATCCTAATATTTTTTGTAGAAAAGTCCTAATATTTTGGGTCATTTTGTGAAATAGTTCCAATATTTTGTGTCAGTTTATGAAATAGTTCAAAATTAATTTGTTGACGGTTCCAACCGGTCAAAAATGGTTAAAATGCATATTTTTGCCAGTTTTTAGGACTTTTTCGTAAACAAAAATTAGTTTAGGACTAAAACGTAAACCGAGCCAAAATTTTAGGATTTTATTGGAGATTTTCCTTGTCTATTTTCAATCTCACTCTAAATTCTATTTACACTCGAAAAAATAAAAATAAAATGTAAAGTTAGAATATGTAGAAGATTTGTATAATTTACATTCCTACTAGAAAGGAACCTATGCTACGTATGTGGCAGAATTTATTGTTTGAAAATATTTATATGTAATAGTGGTCTAAATATTCAAAAATGTGTGTTTGTGATAGAACACACGAATTTTGGCTTCCTTGTGACATAAACACACAAAACATACAAAATGTGGGTCGGAGGTAACAACATGCTTTTGAACTTAAATTTCAGAGGAACTCATGTTTGGATCAATTTTACAATAAGTGGCGGAGAGAATGGGGTGGCATGTCGGTGCTCTGTTCCTGCCAACTTTTTATTTGACCACCAAGGTCCTAGAGACTAAATGCAAATACGATATAATATTTGAAGTGTTAAATTCTATTTAAAAAGTTTATATATATATATATATATATATATATATATATATATATATATATATATATATATATATATATATATATATATATATCTGGTAAGAAATTTTTTTGGTAGGAAGGTAACAAGTCTTTTTTCTACATATTTTTTTGACGAACAAAAAAAAATGAATCACTAGTTGATTCATTTGTAAGATAATTCACAAGAAAAAATTCTCAAAAAAACATCTTTATGATTCATTTTAAAGTAAATTAAGAAAAAATTTACTTTTATGACAATTTTAATGAATAACAACAAAATCATTATATAAATGAATCATCAAAATGTTTTTTTGAGAATTTTTTCTTGTGAATCATCTAATGATTCATTTTATTTGTTCGTGAAAAAAATATGTAGAAAAAAAAACTTCTTACCTTCCTACCATAAGTTTTCTTCTTATTTGATCTTGACTCTCTCTCTCTCTCTCTCTCTCTCTCTTTATATATATATATATATATATATATATTGGAAAAGTGAATATATCGTTAAGGTATATAAGCTTAGGTACTCAAACACATAATACTACGTCGTTTTTTTATCATATATATACATTATAATTATCCAATGTTTTTATAATTCAACTTATAACTTGATTTACTTCCAATATTTTTATAAATTTCATATTTATCTTACTCTTACATAATTTTTATTTTCAACTATAATATATATAGCCTACTAGGTGTTTGACAAAAAGACGTGATGTAAAGGAAGATAATAGTGAAATTTTGAAAATCTTAATTGTAAATCAAGTTAGAAATTAAAGTTAAAGAGCATTATAATGAATATATCAAACAAAACGACGTATTATTGTGGGTTTGGGTACCTAAGCTTATGTACTCTTAAAGGTATATTCACTTTTCCATATATATATATATATATATATATATATATATATATATATATATATATATATATATATATATATATATATATATATATATATATTAGATAACGAATTCCAATATTGTTCACGTTACAACAAATCTATCATGCTTAAAAAAATAAGGATGGACTATTTTTTCTTTTAAATCGCATATATATTATACATTCTAAAAATAAAATAAAAGTTGCATAAGAGAGATAGAAGAACAATAATATATCTTACAAAAAATAGAAATTACAACTAGAATATATTTAACAAATTATTTAAATTATATTAATTATGGTTTGTAATCATCATCATTGAATATATATATATATATATATTATATATATATATATATATATATATATATATATATATATATATATATATATATATATATATATATATATATATATATATATATATATATGACTGCATATTCTTTTGATCCTCTACTATCTTGAATTCCATATACGATAATCAAGCACGTTGTTGTGCTCTCCAAATCTAAGATTCAAGAATTAAGAAGAAAGTAATCTTTAACTTCTTATTACACATTTAACTTTTATGTAATGTGTAATGGTTATTTGGCTTCTCATAACGAAAAGAAGATTTTTATGACATACAATTGTATTGTATTACTATACTATTATGGAATGTTTAATAATACATGATTACAACTTTAAATGAATAGTAATATCAAAGAGTAATTAACGTCGAACCAACAATATTAATCCTACCTTTGCTCCCATTATTCTAAAATCATAGCTTCGTCCCTGTTTACAATGTTATATAGACTTGTATACTTAAAAATATAAACAAGGTATGGTTTTGCAGAGAGTTACATGTCCCTTTTGTGCTAACTATAAGGATGAAGTTGTCATTTTTCGGTCAACAGAAATGTCACCGTGTGATGGCGTAAGATAAAATTAGTATCTAACTTCCATGCAAGATGACACTTGATTAGTTTTGTGAATGTAAAATAGAATGAATGTTTAAAAAAAAAAAAAGAATTAGATGGCACAAAGACTCCTAAAAATGCTAACTCAAAAGTACCAAAACGGAGAACATGAAGAGCAAGTCGAGTTAGCACCAATAACTTTGAAGTCTACCTTTCCCGCATAACTTGCAAAGACTGGGTTATGTAAGGATTTTTTTAAAGAATAGCAATGCAATTTTAGTTCTTTTCCAAAAAAATAACAAAATACTTAGAATAGTTTACATATAATAATATATGTAACCTAAAACCAA